GAGATGATGGGGATAATCGGTTCGGGTTGTCATCAAATCACAGAGCAGGACAAAACCGAGGATCAAACCGTAACGCTACTGAGGATCATGACATTGCATCATGTGCCGGAAAGTCTAGGTCCAATTCCAATGGTTGTTTTCTGGCCCTGCAACATCCCCACCTCAATCTGCGAGCATTTTGGCTGGCGGAACTGGCTGGCTCAGATCTGTCTTCGAGGTTACGGATGGGTATAGGGCGCGAAACACTGCTGTGCTCACAAACAGTTGGACCTTGTACATGACGCTGCATGCTACTGTCCATGTAGAGGAGTCCGAAGACAAACATGTAGGTCATGGACCGGTGCAAAGTGGCAGCCTTCTGTCTTGCGAACTGTCGGACATGCAGTTCTTGTGCGGGAGGGAGAAGACGTTGAGTCGAGAGAATCGAGAGGAGGAAGAAAGAGCTGCTACCAAAGTGTTGACCAAAGAGGAACGTGAGCTTCGGGAGCACTGCGAGAGAGATCATATTCTATTTAGGAAGGACTGCAAGTCTTCAGGCAACTATGAGACGGCCCAGGCACATCCGACCACAGTACCAGAACTCCAATGCATTGTGCCTTTCTTTGGTTTTGATAGGCTCATGGATCAAGGGAAGAGATCATGCCATGACATCACCGGCTAGGTTCATTCTGGTTGCTACGCCTGGGGTGCCTCTTCTCCGCGACGGCAGACCTTTGCCGCTCAGAGTAGAGGCGCGGAAGGAACAAGAAGACGTAAGAGGAGATGAAAAAGACAAAGACAGAGAGGGACATGTGGGGGATCAACTTTCAGGGAACAAGTGTTAGTCCAGATGAAAGGGTTGTTTTGAATGCTAGGCTTAAGAGTCTTGGAGTTGCTTCGGAACATGAGTATCAGTTTGAACAACCCCGGTTTGAACTGTATGATCATGGGGACCTTGGGTCCGGGGGCCGGTGAAAAACTCTCAAACTCCTGAAATTCTCCGTAATGCATAGGGCGCTGAGCCTGCGCAGCCGCTTCGAACAGTGCCCGTGCCTCATTCGGATGTCTTGAAGAACATTGAGGAGTGGAAGGGTTCGATAGGAGATGAGCTGTCGAATGTGTTCGATGTTCATCAGGCCATGAGAAGAAGAACCGATGAAGAGATACAAGCTTTGAGAGGCGCTGGAGCACAAATCGAGATTCTGCCGTCGAAGGCATTGTTGCATCGGAAGTGTGGAACTGGACGGCACACGTGCCGTGTTGCGGCTTGCGGCAACTTCTCTGAGAATGCGAAGGGCAAGGGTCGAGAGCGCAAGTTGCAGTCCTATGCTGGTGGGGCTGAATCATTGAGCTTGAGATGCTACCTTAGAGTCGTGGCACATCGTGCTGTTACACACCAGCGGAGAACATCAATAGCAGACATTCCTGTTGGCTCCATTGCGCAAGAAAACCAAGAGGACTTTCTTTAGACGCCCGTCGGTCTTGAAGCAGGCCGGATTGGCAGCTGAGGGAGAGTATTGGGAGATCACCGGTGATTTGTAAGGGATGCAGGAGAGCCCTGCCGATTGGGCTTCGTATCGAGATGAAACTTTGCCTACTATATGGCGTCAAGGAAAAAAGAATTTCCTGGAGAGCTCCAAACACGAACCCAACATGTGGCTAGATCGTTGCCCTGAATCATCCGAGCTATTGGCCTCTTTCAATCTATGTGGATGGCTTGCTGCGGTCTGGCAGAGAAGAGGTTTCGGAAGCAGTTTGGGCAGCCATCAAGGCAAAGTGGTGGATCAGTGAGCCTGAGTATGCAGACCTTGGCCGCGCAATCACTTTCTGTGGTTTTGAGTGTTGAGATTCGACAAGAGGCTGATGGAATTCACATTGGACAGGCGAAGTACGTTCAGTCGTTACTTTGATAAGGACCCTGAGATCCAAGGTGTAACCACTTGCTCGTATGCCAAACTAGAAGGAGACCCTTGAAACCAAGCCCCAAACCTCACTTAAGAAGCAAAGGTGAGCTCAAGCGCTGTTTGGAAAGATGCTCTGGTTGGCAACTCGCACCAGAGCTGTCCTGGCCTACTGCGTGAGTATACGTCAGTTATTCACCCGAGACGTTGATCAGGCGATACAGCGAGGTGAGGACATGATCAGGTATCTGAGGGCAACTAAGAACCAAGAGTGGGTTTATGGCTGTCGGGGAGAAGGCCATGGACCAGGAGATCAACTACCTGCTGAGCGCGACTTTAATCTCGCTGAGGTTTTTGCTGATGCGAGCGTTTGTCCGGGAAGTGACAAAAGCCAGACTAGGATCATCCTTATATGGGGAGGCGGTCCTATCGGCCGGATGTCGATGCGACAACCGTGTGCTAGCCTTAGCACTGCTGAGGCTGAGTTGCAATTTTCATAAGATGGGATGGCCCTTGCGGAAGGACATCATGGACTATTGGCAGAATTGGCAGAAATGCCTCAGAAAATCTTCGTGTACGACGACAACGGCGTTGGTGCTTGCACAGTGTCGACGCTCCCACAAGGAGCATGCAAGGCTGCCTGGTTTCTGGAACAACTGGAGTACTCAATGTTTCGCGTTTATCATGTACCTAGGCAGTACATGTTGGGTGATCTGTGTACGAAGTCGCTTGTGGGCACCTGCGTGAAAGAGCTCCTGAACATGATGAACCTTGTTGTCGAGCCATGAAATGTTGTTGAGGGGGAGTCGCATGCATTGGAAAGGGCCCGACCGGCTTCGAAACATGTCGCAAACATGACCTCGGGAATTGTCTCCGGGGAGCAGAAAGAGCTTTGACATGGCCGCTTCGTCCCTGCATTGCGTGTTGTCCAGGCTTTTGTGCAGGTGCATGTCGAAGTTGATTCGGAACAAGATGAACAGACCACAAACATTGTTGACATCCTCAAGCTTGCGTGTGCAGTGTTGCTCTTGATTGGCTTGTCGGCGTCGGTTGCTTGGGAGTGCTGTTCACAAGAAGTCCTTAAAACATCGAGTGGTGAGGGAACAAAGAGACGATGAAAGTGAATGGTCGGTTGTGAGATCTAGGCCTGAGGGCTCAGATGACTTGGACGAGGCAGTCGACGATGACAGGGTTGCAATGGGAGAAGGGTCGAGGAATGGAGCTAGGAGTATTGGTTGCGGTTCCAGGTCTTTGACCAGGCGGTCACCCAAGTCCCTAGTGGTTCCTCAAACACCCTCGACGGACGCGACGAGGATGGAGGACTTGGTAGTGGGTTGTATACTGCTGAGATAGGTTTTCCATCCAGGTCGTTGACCACCGGTCCCCCTAGTCCACGACGACCCCACACGCCGGACGACGGTCAGGGGAGATGGAAGTCACAGGGCGGAGGTCTCAGAGATACCGTTCATTGCGGGCGAGTGCATGCTGGCACTCTGGTGCAATTGGCTGATGATGGGATGTTCTATGGCGATGGTGACGTCGCCGAACAACTGTTCGGTGCTGAAAGGGATGATCAAGAAAACCTGGACGCCGAGCTGCAGGCGGCTTCGCAACGGAAGCTGGCCGAGCCCCAGAGGCTTGTGATCTTTCCTGGGTGGCCGTCCCGGGTGCCACCGAGATTTGCTTGGGATCGAACCTGCTTGGGGACTGATTGTCTGATTCCATGTGGAGCCCAGGGTGAAGCTCTTCTTGGCTGGAGCGCGAGTGGACTGGAAGGGCCGAGTTTGAGCTTCGTCATGGTTGGTGATGATTCGCAGTTTTGAACGCAAGGAGTGAGCGAGAACCCCAGTTTTGCTTCGCAAGGCCTTGAGCTGACAAACTCTTTAACGTCATTTTTGCTACAGCAGCGTGTTCTCTGTAAGAGCTCCTGGAAGTGCGCCATGCGCCGGGGGAGTGTGAATCCGTTGGAACTCCTCCGCTCTTACAGTGCCGTGCATTCCAGGATTCATCTGGAGGCCTTTCTGATCGAGAAGAAAGCGTCGAGGCACCAACACCCAAGGTCAAAGGACTTTGGGTCCCGTACGAAAACCTTGTACCCTCCAAGTCCCCAAAGCCAAAACTCCTAACCCGAAGCCCCCAAGTCCTAGACCATGTAAACCTTAAATCTCAGGACCTCTGCTCTGGCAGCTGCGCACCTCATGTCTTCACTGCGGCCGATGCAATGGAGCTCTGACGATGTCCTAGAGAGCCCCGGAAGGCCTCCAAATCCTGTAGCTTGTATATCCACCTGCGAAACAGTGCATGCCATTTGCTAAAAAGACTTCACATCGTCTCCTATAAGTGCCATAGAAAGTTTTTTTGAACATATAAGGACGACAGCATTGAACTATCGGGTTCCTGGAAGAACACCCCCTTCTCGCCAAGGCTTCTAGGTTTCCGGAATGCTGGGGCCTGAGACACAGCTGCGGGTAACTTTCTGCCTGGACAAACCTGCGAAGTTCAGGAAAACAGAGCCGACATAAGCCGCAAGAGGTGTAAGGATCCCGACAGAAGACACCCCTCATGCTAAGAACCCCGCTTGAGTTTTATCACTCGTGGCACAATGCTTCATCAGTTCATGTGAAATACCTGGAGCCCCCAGCCCAAGCTTCTTTGCTACACTCTTGAGAAAAGTGCAGACAGAATGAGTGCCTACAAACACGCGCAAGAAGAAGAAGAATAAGTCACGGAAGCGAAGATGCCGTTTTGGCATGAAACTCCGCATTCTGAGCGCTAAAATAGTGAAACGAAGCCAAGATTCGACGCAACGTCTGAAAACTCCAACACGAGTGCTTTGCGTGCATCCCCATCTTCATGGAGGATGTAGTCGGGAGCTGAAGTCTCCAATGCAATATCTGCCGCCGTGCATCTGCGAGAACTTTTCAAGTCCGTGCGGGAACCTGCAAGCAACATGGCCGTTGCCTCGAAGCTGCTGGTGATGACGCTGCACATCAGGGGTGTGGAATTGTCGTGATGGTAGGCATAAGTACTTAAGGTGGACTGCTTCCAACGATGCCGCATGCTCAAGCCAGCTGAAGAAGGGCATACTCTGCTGGTGGTCCACAACGGCACCTGCCTCGATTAGGCTTGACACAACCCCTGCCGCGCCACCCTCGCCATTGCTACATCCATGTCTTGCCGGGAAGCGCCTTGCAGCAGCTCCCTCATGGCTTCCCGATATCCTGCAGCACTGGCCATGATGTAAGGTGTATAGCCGATCATGTTCCTCTCTGTCGGATCACAACTGGCGGCCACCAGAAATTTGATTCCCTCCACGTTGTTGGACAAGGCGGCCCAAAGGACTGCAGTGGCCCCGTAGCCGTCTTTTGCACCGACATCGACCCGGTTCGCAAGGATCACCTTGATGGCACTGCTGTTTGTCAACGTAGCACAAGTGTGAAGTATCGGGGCGTCTGGTGCGAAGTGGCACATCGGTCCCCTGTCTTGATCTTGTCATTCACGTCTGCCCGCTGTTCTAGAAGCACCGTGATCAGCATGGGACTGCGATGCACAAAGTTCTCGAGTCTTTCTCTCTAGCCGCCCCCCCCGGCGGCTTTCCCAACTGTTCCTGTTTAGCAGTTCCCCTGTATCATTATCTGCATGGTGGAGGAGAGCCTGCGATGAGCGACATTGCGGCTGGACTGCGGATATGGGAAAAAGTCGTACCACAGAAACGGCGGCTTGGAAGATAACCAGGTCGCTACGCGATCATGCTGCTGCCCCATGAAGGTCTGATGGTACATCTCGCAAGTTATGTTCCCACAAATGGCTGTCGTTCCGGACATCGCGTTCCTCAAGGCATCTTGTAATGCCTTGAGCTGCTGTAGGTGGGGGTCTAGGTGGTCGATGCTCGACCACTGATGCGACACAAACCTGGCATCCGTCGAACTGCTCTAGGGAGCCCTCCGCCATCAGCTCCTCATGCGGCCGAAGCTCGGTCATAACCATCAGGAAATGTACCGGAACTACGTGCCTGGATCAATAGTTGGGTGTACGTTGGAAAAAAGCAGACCTCAGGGTAGCTGGCCATGCGGGACTTGCTGTTTTTACTCTAGGGTAGAATAGAATAGACCAGAATCTACCATGACCCAAATGACACTTTTTGTCTATGCTGCTGCAGGAATGCTCCGAAAACGAAGCCCAATGCTATTCTGAACGTCTTCCTCATGCTAGCGGGAGACGGTGCACACAAATGTTGAGACTCGGAAAGCAAACCGTTTTCCTATACCGTCCTGCGAAAGGCAAAGCTCACGAACACTTAAGTCAATGTCAGCTACTGGACTGGCCAACGCAGGAAGCATACAAGATCCAAGAAGAAACTTTAACCGCGTGAGATGCTCTCCGCGAGGTTGGCAGTTCTGCATTTTTCTGGAGGGGCACGGCAAATGCCGCTGTGCGGCTGTGCGTGGTCTGTACATCTAACGCTTCGGTGCTATCAAAAGTCTCTTTCTGTATAAAAGGACCAATTGGCAGAATCCGTTCCACTCCACCCCCCTGTTCCAGAAGAAGGAACATCCAAGTCCTACAGCCAGCTTTCCATACATGCTTCGTGCCGAAGAAGCTGAATGTTGAGGACTGCTACAAAAGAGCAAGGGAACTGACGGGGTGAAGCCCACTGGTACTTAGTTCCTAGATTGTTACAGCCAAGACTCGAAAAGTCCATTGCCATGCGCATCAAAAAAATCTCCTGAACAAATCCCACAGATCTTCCTCAGGACCACCTCCGACTCGACTCCAAAAAGACCAAAATCCTAGGCCAAAGACCCTGCAACATCCCGTAGGGGATGCAGCTTCGCAAGGAGTGTCTGTGCAGGATCCGTCCTTTCTTCCTGTGTCGTCAGAGCCGGCCGCACATGAAGGACATAAGGACATAAGGGCTCAACAGAGTTTTGGGCAAGGCTACAGAAGGATCTACGGGTTCTGTAGAGCCCGGCGGCTCGGGCTTCTTCTGCTTGCTTGACTTAGAGGGGCGTCTGGCAGCAAACCCCTACAACTATCTTACTAGATAAGTTAAGACGTAAACATCGCTGGCGTCTACTAACCTGCTAGAGATCAGCAGGGCTTCAGGCCTACTGCAGATGATCACTTTGGGGCCCTAGGTCGAAGCTGTAAACAGCAGACTTTCCCGCGGTCAGCCTATTGCTCCGACGACCGCAAGCTCGCCGAATTATTCAAAAGCAGGAAAAACGCAGGGAAGACTATTCGTCGAGTCCGGTTGCGTCCGTCCACAGGTTTAAGCCGACATAATGAGACATCCTTACCTCCACCACAGTACGTACAACCTGTATAAGATACCCGACCGACACACAAATCAACTTTTGTTTTTCGAAACCTTCACCTGCGCGGTCATCAGATTTGCAGGAAGTACTTCGCATGGAGTGCTGAGCCCTACGAATCGCCAAATTAGCGTTTCCACCACTGGTCCGAAGCGCTAAATCCAAGCCCGGTCCGAGACTCACTCTACTTCCCTTTGACCTGCCATTTAAGGCTCTACAAGCTGTGCGAATTAGATCACTTCCGTTGAGGGATCGGTGTCTGTGACATTGATGTCATAGAGCTTCTGCATGAACAAGAGACCTTGTTGTGCTTGGGCGTTCGCGAAGGCAATCGCATGGAAAAACCCATGTACAACCTTGGAAACCCCAAACTCAGAAACAAGGCACCTGGTTAACGGTCCGAGTCCATGGACAAGAGATAGAGGCCGTGGTATTTTCTAAGCCAGTTGGAGGCTCGACACCAAATCCTAAACCTCTGCAACAGGAGCCGCGACGAACAAGTGCCCGCTACACTCGATGGCACTAGACCAGACTGGACCCCTCAGCCAGCCTGCCAGTTAACCCCAACCCAACAAGTCACTCCCAATTACCATTCTACATCTCCGATGCGTGCCATAGAAAAACACAGCAGAGGAGGCGAATGTATGTACAGCTACTGCCACCTTCGAAAGCTACATGCTCAGCCCGAAGCCGTACCTATATAGTAACAGTCCACAAGAAAGGCACGGCATGGTCGCAACCAGTTTGAAATGGAATAGCTGGTCCTTGTTTCTTCGAGGTAGCTACTAGCCTACTAGCCGAGACTCCTTTGGCCACGGGTGCGCTCCCGGTGTCCAGAAGCCTGGGGACCTCTGCAAAGCGGAAGCGTGGCTTGGCTTGCAACCGTAAGCAAACAGCCATGACAGTAGCTGTGGAGAGCAATGGAAATTCCAGAGCACAAGCGATGGTAAGAGCCGTGGTATTAGTAGCAACAGCAGCAGTGGAAGAAGTTTTAGGCTGTACGTAGAGGCTACATTGACCTGGCAGGTCGACTGAGTATTCGTAGTGCCCCTATCCGTAACCCATCTCAGCCACTATTTGTAAAGGCGAGAGCAGAGCGCATACGGGACACCCTGAGTCGGTGCAGTTGTTGCATTCGAGCGTGCCCTGGAGGGGGGCAGTGCTTCAAAGCTTCAAGCCGGATTCGGTGAGACCTTTATCTACCTAGAGAGACAAATGTACTTTTTCAACAACAAGTGTACTTCCGCATTTAAGAACTTGGCTACTCGAGGTACACTCTAAGCCATTGCCACAAAGGCTTGTAAGCCGCAAACAGTGCCAACACATGTGGTATGGGCACCTCATTCCGCTTTGTTGAACCCGCTCTGAGGCAGACTCCACGTAAACCTCAACAACCCAAGTTGAATACAGGAAGAGGAGTGGTTCGTGATCGAATGCAGCAGAACGACGTTCTGTCACTGTCTGCTTGCTAGCAGGGAATTGCGGAAACTATATCGTAAACCATAGTTTGGTAGGGGAATTTGAGGAGATGGCATTCTGCTTCGGGCTTCGGCCCCTATTTCAGCTGAGGGATTGCCGTTGAAACTCCGACCAACTTCGAGGCAACTAGGGACGTGTCGACACTATGTGCCAAACCACAGCCACGAAACCTCTCGATACTGATGCAGCCCAGCGAATGGTTCACCATACCGCCGTCTATGGTAAAGGTAACTGATAGGTAACTGGAACAGCGTTCCAACAAGTTACACACAGAAGGAACGGCTTCAAGCGTTTGACGGTGTAACAAAAAAGGTAGTGACAACAGTAATACTAGTATCAATGTTAGTTTTAGTACTAGTTTTAGTGGTGGTGGTAGTAGTAGTAGTAGTAGTAGCAGTAACTATAACAGCTAAAAAAATAATGATTCTAATGGCAATAATAGCAGTAGTCATAGCAGTAGACAGCGCACCCATGCGCAAAAGCCAATGACGTCCATGGCCTAGTGCGTTTCAGAACAGAGCATCCAAGATGCAGATGATGAACATACGCCGCGACGGGCATCGCACTAGGGGGGTTAGAGCTAGTAGTAGTAGTAGTAGTAGTAGTAGTAGTAGTAGCAGCAGCAGCAGCAGTAGTAGTAGCAGTAGTAGTAGCAGTAGTAGTAGTAGTCGTCGTCGTAGTAGCAGGCAGTAGTAGTAGATTCAGTAGCAGTAGCAGTAGCAGTA